GATTGATTGATTATTTCAGCGCCAACACTATCCCCTGTCATAATAAAGGCAGTACCTATTGGTCCTTATAGAATATTCCTGGCATGGAGGCCAGTACCTCTGCCATTCGTCCACGGCACTCCTAAAGGATTTAAGATTCAAAATTGTGTAGTCGGTGATGATCGATATATAACGATAAATACGACGACTCCTAACTCAAAGGATTTCGAGGTTCTTAACCTCCAGCCTTCAACCAAGTATAATTTATCAGTTTTGGAGTTTAATGAGCACGGCGATGGACCTTGGAGCACTCCTGTCTATGTACAAACTATGCCAGAAAGTAAGTCGACATGAACAGATAAATAATCAACTCATAAAAAAAACAACCGACTTACTAAACGTTCCGAAACCAACCATTTCACCGTTTAACCAAACCACAAACCCTCTATCAACCAACAAACAAACCACGAACCCACACACCAATCCACCAAAACAACATTTAACAACCAAGCAAACCATTACTAACCACAAAGCACATTAATCTTAACGTCTAGATCTTGAACTAACTACAAACCCACCATTTCTAATCTTCTTGCATGTAATTTAAGCGATCCTTCTTTTCAGATTTTATTTCGATACGATTCACCTTACTTCTAAAGAACAAAAGATTTACTCCAAAATTACTCGAACGAAGTACAAGCGAGTACTTGTCCTTGGAACAGGCTTTCAAGTCGAAGGTAATCTTCATTGACCAAATCAAAATATAAATGAAAGCACTGGGGCAATCATTATCATCTGTTGATCTTGCAGTTGCAGAAGTTATTCCAAAGCTCAAGATCACGTGACTACAGCATATTCAAGATAAACATAATCAAATTTTAGTAAGTTATTTGGTACTGATATACTACTGGCACCGGTCGCATCAAAGATGAGGTCACGCAACACGGGAGGGAATACCAGCTTAGGAAATGGAGTTCAACCACAACCTATCTTTTCCACCACGAAAAAAATTGCAACTTTATAATTTCTTTTGATAAATGTCAATTTTTAGTAACGGAAGTGTTGGAGTTGAGTTTGACGTCACTGCTGAGTTGATCAACAATACGACATCGTGGTCAGCTACACAATGCATCACGGGATTGATATGGAAAGAAACTCGTGGAAATTCACCAAAGTCTTTGCATTTTTCGTCTTTGCAAGTGCAAGGTAATACAAAGAGGCATCCTCGATTTGCTTGCAGTGCTATCAAGAAATTCATTATAAATGTTCACCAAAAACTATGATCAAAATAGTCTAACCAGTTATCCATTGACCGATGCACCTATTTGATATCTTCTCCAGCTTCTCCACCACCTCCAGTCAACCTGACTGAAAATAACGTCACTACCTCGTTCGTCACCATTGGTTGGTCAGCACCTGCYTACCACGATCCATATAACATCACTAGCTACACTATCGAGTACAAGAAGACAGACATTRAAATGCAGTATTTCAGGGTCGATTCCGTAGGCTCTGATAAAAGGACAACCACAGTAAAGAATTTGGAATATGGTACTCGATATCTGATGCGCGTTGTGTCGGTGAATGCTTATGGACAAATGCAGAGTCAGGATTTGATTGTACAAACTAAAAGTGAGGATTTTGTCTGTAATTTAAAAAACAGCACAGCACAACACAGCACAGCACCGCACACATGTAACACATGTAAGTTTTTAATTACAGGACCCGGCACAGAAGAAGAAAGCAGAGCCACATACACTGCAATAATTATCTTGCTGGTAGCAATGTCTCTCGTCTTAAGCATMATTGTAGTTATATTTTGGAGATGGTGGCGTAAGAAACTGCAAAAGGAGAAAGAGCTAACAGAACGGATCCAAAGGGTAAAACGATATGTTGAATAGAGTCAAAGTCGAGTTTGTATGATTATCGTAGTTAATTCTTCAATAGATCAAAATCAGGATCATTAAATCAGACCAAAATTTGTTGTCTGTAAGGGTATATATTAAAGATTTTTAAGGCTTCAAAATCTATCTATCATCTCAGTTATAACATATATATCGAAAGTATCCTCAACCGCCAAAAAAACGTGAAAATCGATGTTTGACGTCTTAGAGAAAACCAAGTGGATTTTCCATTCTGTCATGACTTTGTCTTGTAGCTGATGGAAAATCCTTACGATCCCGAGGTGGACTGGTTCAAGCTTTTCAAAATTGATGTTGTTCAGCCATGGTGGGAGATACCACGTGGTGACCTCACCTTCCAGAATCAGATCGGTTCAGGAGCGTTTGGCGTCGTGTATCAAGGATTTCTAAAGTTCACAGAAAATGGGAAAGAGCAAGGAATGTACTGCGCTGTGAAGATGTTAAAAGGTAATGTCGTGTTCGTGAACTTGTGCTTCCTTGGCAGAACTACATGTGTAATTTAGTCAACGCCTTTAAACAACTCAGCAAAAATCCAAAGATGTCCTTCAAAAGNGATTTTCCATTCTGTCATGACTTTGTCTTSTAGCTGATGGAAAATCCTTACGATCCCGAGGTGGACTGGTTCAAGCTTTTCAAAATTGATGTTGTTCAGCCATGGTGGGAGATACCACGTGGTGACCTCACCTTCCAGAATCAGATCGGTTCAGGAGCGTTTGGCGTCGTGTATCAAGGATTTCTAAAGTTCACAGAAAATGGGAAAGAGCAAGGAATGTACTGCGCTGTGAAGATGTTAAAAGGTAATGTCGTGTTCGTGAACTTGTGCTTCCTTGGCAGAACTACATGTGTAATTTAGTCAACGCCTTTAAACAACTCAGCAAAAATCCAAAGATGTCCTTCAAAAGTGGGAAAGACCATTAAAAGGGAATTTTTGTAAGAGACGGTGCTCTCTTTCTTTGATCTTTTATCGGGAAAATAAAATCCAAAACTGTTTTCCTTTCTTTGATATTTTATTTTCATTACTAGAAAATTCGACCGAGAAAGAAGTCCGTGACTTATGCAGAGAAATCAAAATCATGTCGAGCATTGGTGACCACCCCAACATAGTCAGCCTTATTGGTGCGTGTACAACCAATGGTAGGTCAAAGCACGACTGAGTGATAATCGATGCACACAACTGAACAATCATTGGAAGGTCCAACTTCATCGAACAATTTAGGGACTGCGCAATATTTATTATCAGGAGGGGCGTTGAGAATTCAGGAGGGGGAGGGGAGGGGGGGGGGTAAAATTTAATTTTATGTGCTAAAGAGGGAGGCAACGTCTAAAATTAACTATAACTTTAATTGGAAACTGAAAACTCCACGGTGTCAGATTCTGTGCTTTTTGGCCAAATACGTACTAAAGTGGAAAACTTCCCAAGAAAAGCGTGCCACGATTTGCGACAACTCTTTATTTGGCTCATTTCTCAATCCTCCTTCCTGATAAATATTGCGCAGTCCATAAAAGCTGTCTCCAAGAGGGTGCATTGGAGACAACCCAATGTATTGATGATCGTAACAGGACTTTAGTTCCGCCAGTAATAACAGGAATTATTTTAGAATTGCTACTTCTATTTCATCTACGTACAGCTAAAACATGACACCATACATGCCTATACTGACAAAATGCGATGTGAATATCAAATGAGTAATNTCGATGTTAGAAGTCTTAGAGAAAACCAAGTGGATTTTCCATTCTGTCATGACTTTGTCTTCTAGCTGATGGAAAATCCTTACGATCCCGAGGTGGACTGGTTCAAGCTTTTTAAAATCGATGTCGTTAAGCCATGGTGGGAGATACCTCGTGGTGACCTCACCCTCCAGAATCAGATCGGTTCAGGAGCATTTGGCGTCGTGTTTCAAGGATTTCTAAAGTTCACAGAAGATGGGAAAGAGCGTGGAATGTACTGCGCTGTGAAGATGTTAAAAGGTAATGTCGTTTTCGTGAACTTGTGATTCCTCGGCAGAACTATATGTGTAATTTAGTTAACGCCTTTAAACAACTCAGCAAAAATCCAAATGATGTCGTTCAAAAGTGGGAAAGATCATTAGGAGGGTGCTCTCTTTCTTATATCTTTTATCGGGAAAATAAAATCCAACACTATTTTCCTTTCTTATTTTCATCACTAGAAAATTCGACCGAGAGAGAAGTCCGTGACTTATGCAGAGAAATCAAAATCATGTCGACCATTGGTGACCATCCCAACATAGTCAGCCTTATTGGTGCGTGTACAATCAATGGTAGGTCAAATTACGACTGAGGACCACTGAGTGATATGCGATGCACACAACTGAACAATCATTGGAAGGTCCAACTTCATCGAACAATTTAGGGACTGCGCAATATTTATCAGGAGGGGGTGGAGAATTCAGAGGAGGAGGGGAGGGAGTGGAGGGGGGTACAATCTAATTCTATGTGCTAAAGAGAGGGGCAACGTCTAAAATTAACTAGAACTTTAATTGGAAACTGAAAACTCCACGGTGTCAGATTCTGTGCTTTTTGGCAAAATACTTACTAAAGTGAAAAACTTCCCAAGAAAAGCGTGCCACAATTTGCGACAACTCTTTATTTGGCTAATTTCTCAAACCCCATTCCTGATAAATATCGCGCAGTCCATAAAGGCTGTCGTCGAGACGGTGCATGAGTGACAAACAAATGTATTGATGATCATAACAGGACTTTAGTACTAATAACAGAAATTATTTTAGAATTGCTACTTCTATTTCATCTACGTACAGCTAAAACATGACACCATACATGCCTATACTGACAAAATGCGATGTGAATATCAAATGAGTAATATTTCGTATTTGCAMAGGTCCTCCATTGCTTGTAGCCAAGTTTGCGCCAAACGGTTGCCTTCTTGACTACATCAAAGAAAACCGGACATTACCAGCATATGAAAACCAACCTCAAGACCGTGGTCGCAAAGGAATTACCGCGAAAGAACGATTGAGGTTTGCGCACGATATTGCACAAGGGATGTCGTATCTCGAAAGCCAGAAGGTATCAATAAACATGGATATTATTCATTATAAACCTCTTATATCGTTTTTTAAACTGTTCTTTATCAACAGTATGTACATCGCGACTTGGCTGCTCGTAACATTCTTCTTGGTAAAGACATGGTTGCCATGGTTTCAGACTTTGGCTTGTCACGTGACGTTTACGAATCTGGTGTTTACGAAAATACATCGGGGGTAGGTATTGCAGTAGTGCAAAGTTTGAAGCAATATCATATACTATCAAAATGGCGGCTACTAGCGGTAAACTGCAGTGAGCTGCGTTGGTGTTTCTAAGAAACGGTTGTGTAAAAAGGTAAATTCAACTCCGACGAAGGTTTAACGTCCGAATTATGTCAGGAAGTTTACTTTTTTGTGGTAAATTTATCTTTTTACACAACTGTTCGCACCATATCATTACAGGGGCGGATCCAGGGGGGGGGGTGTATTGGGTGGCTAGCCACCCCTCTCTTTTATTTGAAAAATATATAAAGAATAAAAGTCTTGAAAAATAAAATAAAATAACAGGATTATTGTATAACAGAAAATATGTATAGTCACTTCAAAAAAAAAATAAAAAATAAAAAAAATAGAGAGAGTGAGAAGAACTGTTTGATGTTTAAATATTCATAAATATCTTTCATATAAAAGTTTGTTGAAAAGTCCGAAATATTATAGGTGTGACCGAGATAACGATAAACGATAATTTCACATGAGCCTAAAGAGTCAAATTAATTATAACGTACTTTAATATGAATTTTTTATATTAGCCACCCCCATCTGAAAAATCCTGGATCCCCCCTGCATTATCATGAAAAGCTTCAAAACTCTTGTGTTTCTAGCCCATCATCATTAATTTTCCTATCTTTATCAAATAGTGAGGTAGGTTATCTTATGAGTACTGGCACAAACCTTGCCGCTGATTTAATTATTGAAGCAAGGAGGAATTATGATGTTAATATCGTTGTAGGGCATTCTTCCTGTGCGATGGATGGCTCCCGAATCTCTTCAAGACTTTAAATACAGCACGGCAACTGATGTGTAAGAACGCTAATTCTAAATTAACAGTATCTGCATGTATTGTATTTGCATTTGACAGTATTATCACTCGTTGTAGAACTGTCGAGTGAACTCAAAAATGTATTTGTTTAAATTCAGGTGGTCATATGGTGTTCTTTTATGGGAAATGGAAAATCAAGGTATTGAAAAAATCGACTTCATTCGTAAATAATATGTACCTA